AATGAAAAAACAAAAATTATACTGCAACTCAGAAGCATACTAATAATCTATTTAAAAACCATATACAGGATAATTCAGTATGCGCGCTCACCCCATTTTGTTGGTTACATTTTGCATACATACAAATTCTGATTTTTGGAATTTTTAAGTTTATAAAGCCGATGTATTTGAATACTTAGATTTTTCATAGCATTTAAGGAGTATCCTGTGATGGTACTATCTTTAGTTTTTCAATTGAGAACCTATATTAAAAATTCCATAAATAGATGAAGTATTGCTATAAATCAATTTTGGTATCAACATTTTTGATTTCCGTCAACTCGTTAACGAGACATTCTACGTTTAAGTTTAGGTAGGAGGAAAGTAGTGGAGCACTAATAAAACGACGCACACCGTGTCGCCACACAAATTATATTCCACTACTCTCCTACCTAAACTTAAAAGTGGAATATCTTGTTAACCGGTTGAAGAAAATCATAAATATTTACACCATAATTGATTTAAAGTAATACTCCGTCTATTCTATCATAAATTACTTCATCGAAATTAACCAGCCAAAAGTAAAAACAAACATTAATTTTTTTTAAAAGCTGATATTCTTGGTGGTATTGCATCCTTGGCCAACTAGTCTGGTCTAAATTATAATTGATAGATATTTTATATGTAATCTATTTTAAAAATAATTATGTAGCAATTTTAACGAACATAAAATTATATATGAATTTTTTATTTTCTTAACATAATTATTTTTGTTACCTATTTTATTTGTTCATAAATAAATAAACCTGATTATTATTATTATTGTTTGTAAAGATACTAATATAATATTACTAATAAGTGTTTAAGTGAATTCTACATACTATATAATCCGATCTGAATTTGTTTTATGTAGGTAATCAATATATTTCTAATCAACATTAAATTGGATAATAGTTGATATTCAAAATATTGAAAGTTAATTTCAAAAACCGATATACTTCGCAATATGGACATAGGCGTCTCTAAAAGAAAACGAATGACTTTACTTCACCATACGTTTGAAATTAAATATGTTTTATCTTTGAGCTAATCCAAAAAACTTCTACACTGTGTTTACAGTTTTTATATAAATTAAAAAATTAAAAACAAAAGAATCTAAAATTTGAATTTAAATTTTGATATTTTTGTAGTGAAATGTAAATTAAATGTATTTTTATATAAAGTGTAAAATATAGGATTATGCACGTTTTTTTTCGCTTTTAATAAATAGATAAATATAATACAAAACTGTTGTAGATAATTTTTCTTTACTACCCCAGAATTTTGATTCTTTTAGCCCAAATGACTATAGGTGTGTGCCATAGTGGCTCACCCGTAGTATGTTAGATTATGGGAAAATAATATGAATTTGGTACGTAATTTTAATTTAACCGTATTAAGGAACGATTGGTCGCTATTGAAGAAAAATAATTCTGAGCAAAGATCAATTAATCGTGTTTAAAAAGATTAAATTGAAAATCACTACAAATAACAAACAAATAAAGAACAATGTATCCAATGTATGGACCCAAAAAAGTATTATTAACTTTAATCAGAAAATGCCTAATACATGGGATGCCATAATTTTCAACATTTCTTTCACTTTATTGATTTTTACTTTGATTTTTCTTCTTAAATTTTCAGATTAATAAAAATTACCCGTACAATTACTAGCTAATCAAAGGAATAATATAATATTATAATCTTTAAAATAGTATAGTAGCTAATTAAAACTATGAGTTTAGGTTTTTTCTGTTTTAATAACATATTAAATATTTGTTAGATTCATTAGTAACTAAGATGATTATAATTGTTTTGGCCAAAAAAAAATACTCTAGATCTCACCGTAACGTGTCTAATTAATCGAGAATATATTAAAAATAATTTAGACAAGTAAATTATTATTTTAATTTTGAATGCAACAAGTAATATATTTGGTTTTTCGTTATAAGCAACTTAGATTAAATTATTAACGAAAATCTTAATAATCACGACATTCGAATACATGATTGACCGAATTTCGCTCCAGATCGTTTTTATTAATAATGATTTACCGTCGCGTACACATATAAATTAAATGATTATATGCATCCTACATTCCCAACTTCCCACCTATAATAATGGTATATACGTCAGCAGTATCAGCAATTTTATTTATTTTGTTTTTATTTTTGATTTTGTACTCAAGTATAATTTCGATAAAGTAAGTTCATGATAGAATTTGTATAAAAGAAGTATAATAACATGTCAAGTGTACGATACAGTTATAAGAGTTTTATAGTATGTCTTGGCCTTGAAGCGTTTCAATGAACAATCAATTCAAATATCACGTAAATTAAAATAAGTACTTTTTCTTAGTATACTCTACATAATTTGAAATTTAAAGTAGGTAATTGATTAGAAGTTCAATTAAAAGCAATCTGCAGAACACAGAATATTTTAATGGGCTAGGTACATATAAGTTAAGGTAAATAAATATATAAATAAAAAATGAATATATAAAAATAAAATTAATTAATTAATCAATGCGTCGCCTGGAGTATTATTTTAAGTGTATTATACGAGACTGGTTTCGAATTAAAAATTCATCATCAAGTATTCTTTTATTACATCTTTTATTAGATATTAGTTATAATGGGCATTAATAGTGTGATAGACACTGATAAATACACGTATTGCATATCCTGTCGATATTTGTTTAATTGGTAAACTAAGAAATATTATAATAAATGGTTATATAGACAGGTAAATCATTATTCGAACAATAGGTAGGTAAAGGTATATTAAGTAACTCTTGAATAAAAAAAAAGAGAAAATAAAAATCATAAAAATAAAAGTCAAAAATATAAAAATAAAAGTTATACAAATTATTAGTTATCTCCCACTGACTTCCTCGCTTATCTTAGAATTTGATAAGCATAATTTATTCAAATAGGTCTAATATATTATTATTGTTTATAGTCATGCACTCGTGGGCAAATAAATAAATAACCGGGTACAACTGTGTCATGGTTGGTAAAGTGCCCGCGCCGTTTTTCTCGTGATCGTACGTGGGTATATTTATAAGCAGTTACCAGAAAAATTGATCCAATGAAAAAATAACACTTGATCTATTTGTTGAATTTTAGATTCTAATTGAGCAAAGAAGATTATCGTTAAACAAAGATGTTCATTTTTTTTTTTCTGTAGACAACTTTTCCACCTGAGGACTTGCTCCGATTTTTTCGTGTAAAAATTTTCTGAAAGAAATCGGTTTGAGGAGGTACCTTGGAGAGGTAATTTTTCGATTTTCACAAGATTTTAATCATCAAAAGCGAAAAAAAAACTGAGGAAAAAGGGGAAAATGTACAAAATATATTTGTAAAATATTATGAACTAAACTAGACTCAGAATCATTTCTTCGTGAGCAATGGTTTATCATTGCTTACAGATATACATTAAATTCTCATCTGTAGCCTACCTTCCCAATTTCCCACCTTTAACAGTAACTGTACACGGGTGCGAAGTAAGTCGGTCCTTTTTTTTTAATTTTCACGTTTAAAAGACCAGATATATTTCAATCGAAATGAGTAATAAAGTAAATTCCAATTGAAATCCATTACAGATAAACTCTTTTTTTTTAAAAACACTTCAGAAATATTATAATAGTTATCTAATCATTTAATACTAAACGGGAGATATATTTGCATGAGAAAATTAAACAAACATTTCTGAGAGTATAATATAAAAGCGTTTGATCCAAATTTCTTTTCAGTTGAAAATTATGAATTCACTAGGGATTTAATCGTTAACATTTTTAAGAAAAAATTTGGGAATCTTGTTAACGAATCTGCCTATCTGAACTTAAACGGAATAGTACGGTATCGCACGACAGGATTATAAGAAGAAGCTATTAAGAAGCCACTAAAAATTAAAAGAAGCTATCATCAATAAAGGTATCTATGTAAATCTTTTATTTTTTTTTATTTAATAACAACTAAAAATTTTCAATAGTTAACCATACAGCTTTTCGAAACATTTAATACTTAGTAAATAGATAAAAAAAATTTTAATTCTGAACATAGCCGAAGATTTTAAAACAATAAGTTTTTTGCTATAACATGTTTTTTTCATTGTCTGTTAACAACTTTGATAACAGAAAAATTACTCCAATTTTCATTAGAGAAAAAACTTATAAGCCAGGCAAAAGGAAGAAAATAACAGTGTCGTTTTTTCTATTTAATTTATTTTGCTTAAATTCGGTTAGAAGTAACCGTAGTTCCCTAACATTTTAACAGACATCTTCTTTTAGTTTTTTCTAGACGTAGTAAAATATTCAAAACATTTTTACTAATAAAAATTAAAGAAATAATAATAATACGTACATTTTTATGTATTCTACTTTTCTTTAATTTTAGTTTAATTAAACATAACTGTATATGGTCGCAAGTAACTATCTATATCCTAAAGTATAATAATGTATGATCGACAAATGTAAAAAAACATAACTCAAACGAAATGTATTAAATTTTCTATCCTAAATAAGAATTAACTAAAACCGATATCCATTAAAGAATCAAAAATTATAATAACCCTAGATATAGAAGAGCATGAATACGAATTCCAAATATATTTGGTTTTCATATTTAAAAAAAACCATCCCTTCAAATTGACAATAATTTCCATAAACACGAAAAAAAAAGGAGATTAGGACGTAACTAGATAAACATCAAATTCAAAAACATCAATTAGTAGGACATAAACTGTATCTATCAGCATGGAGTCGTACTTACTCGTACGTACTTCTCGAAATAGTTAAACACATATTTAATTTTCGACTTTATTCAACTAAAAACTTTTACAATCAATAAAACTCAACATTCATTAATAGCCACTAGGCCAAATCCAATGATACAAATACATCAAATTTTGAACAATGCACTTCAACAGTTCTTTGCATGTGTTATTTAATTATAGTAATTTCAAATCTTTTTAAAGATAATATGAAGGTGTTCGTTATTTTGGGGCTTGTGGCCATATCCATCAGTGCTGTGTGCTCAATAACAATACATGATATTTCAGAAGAATGGAATTTGTTTAAAGTTTGTACAAGATATTTGTAAAAATATCGAAAAGATTTCAATAAACTCATATACCATTTAACTATTTAAAGGTCAAATTTAATAAAGTATACGAGAACGTTGGAGAAGAATTATTCCGTAAAAAATTGTATTTAAAAAACAAAATAGTAATTGAGGAACACAACAAATTATACAAAAAAGGCCAAGCAACATACAAATTAAAAATGAATCAATTCGGTGATATGGTAAGTTTTTATTACTTAGTTTAAATATCATAAACCCTAGTTCAAATTGTTAAATTTGAACATTTATTATTAAATTATAGGCTAACCATGAATGGAAAGATATGAATGGATTTAATCAAATTTTAAAAAACAACATAGATGATAGAGATTCCGTGACTTACTTGAGTCCTGAAAATGTGAATATTCCGAGTTCAATTGATTGGAGAGAATTAGGAGCCGTAACACCTGTCAAAGATCAAGGGCACAAATGCGGATCTTGCTGGGCGTTCAGTAGTGTAAGATTTAAAAATTTATTTCTACAGTAACTGGGTTCATTCAAACTAAATTATATCACAAGAAATTATTTTACGAAATTATAAAAATGAACATCATCTATAATAAAATATCCCAGGATTCATTTATTTTATAATTATAATAACAAATACTATTACTGATCATTCCATCATAGCCATCATACTATTCTAGAAGGATAAATTATATTTTGTTACCCAGATTATAGCTCAATAAGTCACATCCACAATTCTCATGTTCGCAATACGCATTATTTATAATTCAAAATGACGTCAGCTTTTTTTGGGGGGATTGATGAATGCATTGAATACGTTTTCGAATGGTAATTGTTGGTCTTATTTTAGACTGGATCAATAGAAGGGCAACAATTTCGCAAAACTGGTAAACTAGTATCATTAAGCGAGCAAAATTTAATCGATTGCTCTCGCAGGTTTGGTAATGATGGTTGTCGTGGTGGACTTATGGTTCAATCATTCAATTATATCAAATTTAATGGAGGAATTGACACTGAAATTTCATATCCTTACAAAGGCAGGGTAAGTAATCAATGATCAGTTTATCACACCTATTTTAATATTTATTTTGGAATATTTACAGAATGGATTTTTCTGCAAGTACAAATCTACAAACAAAGGGGCTACTGTCTCAGGTTTCGTAAATATTCAAAGAGGAGACGAAAACACTCTCGCTAAAGCAGTGGCTACCGTTGGACCGGTATCCATTGCGATCGACGCTTCCTTAGACAACTTCCGTTTTTACGATGAAGGTGTGTTCTACGAGCCTACTTGCAGTTCTGTACATCTCGACCATGGTGTACTAGCTGTTGGTTACAACACCACAGAAGCGGGAGAAGATTACTGGATTGTTAAGAATTCTTGGGGAGAGGAGTGGGGTCAGGGTGGCTACATATGGATGGCTCGAAATAAGAACAACAACTGTGGTATCGCGAGTATGGCTAGTTATCCTCTGGTCTAAATTATAAGCAATATATATTTTGAATGTAAACGATTTTGACAAATTATGTATCAACTATAACAAACATACAAATTGTAATATATCATTGTTATTAATATTATTAACAAAAAAATTAATCTTATTATTCCCTTTATTTGTGAGGACTCAAGTACAACTTGAATCACAAAATCACTTTCAATCAATTTCATCAATATGTGTTTTTTGTTGTTTTTTTTTGGCTGTTTGTCCTCATAGGATAATACAAAAAAAACCATAGGCATACTTTACACGATGTGTGGGCCACTGCTTTAATCCTACTCAATTCATAAGCCGATCCTAAACCAATCCTAAGCTGATTCTGAGCCTAAACTGGTGCTATAATTTAACATTAACGCCCGAATTGTTCATCTTTACATCAACCTATATTTTCCCAACCCCCATTATTTTCAAAATATTTTTTTTTCCACATTATCGGCTATTTACACAACCAATATTTTGGTCACGCAATTATCCTCAGGAGCGGGAATTATGATTACGATCACTTACATACATACACACACACACACACACACATACACATACATCGTTGATATTGATAACCTCAATATAATTATATCACTAACCTGAATATTTTTATACGAATACTACAATTTACACGGGTATCGATATCAATATATTATATCACCATTTGCGTGTGATACTACGTACCGATACATCGATGAATTGTACGACACATTGATCACACATGCAGCATAATTATTAGAGTACCTATTGTAAAGTGATTAATATTATATATTACCGTTTTTAATACTATGTATCGATACATCGTACGACCCATCGGTATTCGGTAACATAATATTATTAGGGAACCTACATGTATATTCGTTTCCATCAACGTTAGAATTATCATAGTGTGTACCGATCTCGAGCACCTATTCGAAAATATTATTTTATAAGTATTACTTATGCTCATCGTACATGGAAAAGGTACAATTATTTTTAATATCAATGCAATATATGGGTATAAAATATAATTATTAGCGTCATCATTATCGTGCGAGTCCGCACACATGCGGGTACAGAGGTCGTGATTTTTCGTTTCACGAATATTATTCCACGGTCACCCGCGCGCTCACGTTATCCCGCAAGGATATGGTAAACTGTGGTAAAATTAACTTTTTTCTTAAATTCGATATGTTAACGGCGAAAAAAAAAATTTAACATTATACAATCTGCAGTAATTTATTTTATTTACCTTCCATGTATACTACATATCGATACGATACGATACGATGCGATATATACGTTTATCGTTTGTAGTTTGTACGCTATATATATGTTTATGATGTGCATACTATATAATAGTCAATAGAAGTCTTTAGAGACTTTTAGAGTATTAAATGTAAAAATAAAGAATAAACCAATTTTAAAATTGAAAAATATTGTTATTATTAAAAATAATTTTAAGAGATCGTGGTGATCTTATAGTCAAAGAATGAACAACAATAAAATAATAATACAATAATTATTTACTCTAATTTATTTAACATTTTGTCGTTTATTTTTAAAATTTACTTTTTTTAAAAATTCATATCTTGAAATTCGTCCATCTTCTTGCATTTGTTACTGTTTGTTAATAAATTTGTATTTTTGCGTTGTCGCTTCGTTTCTATTTTGTATTAACCCTTCTTCTGCGCTTTTAATTTTTATATATGTGTCAACTTAAATATCTTTTAGAGCATCTATACATTTATATGGTGATGGATGATGATGATAAAAATATACGTTAAATTTTAAATAAAAAGATTCACAAACATTATTTGTTATAATTTCTGATTTCAATGCCCACATTAAAGGAGGGAATATTCCTTGCTTATAGGTTTTTGTTAAATAATCGCAAAATTGTACTATTTGAATATTAGATGACATATCTGCAATCAAATCAAAAACAAACGAATCTTCGATTTCATCAGGTTCAAGGAACGGAAGACCAAAAACATAATTTAAAAATGTCCCTTAATCTGTGTATCCTTCAATATAAAGTTTAGATAGACTCAAATTTTGTAATTTTCTAAGCCACGCTTAGCCGAGATGAAAATTACAACCTCGAATAATACTGGTTGACCATATAATGCGTACCGCTTCGTGTATTCCAATTTCAAAATCAATTACGAACATACTTTGGTTAAGTACAAATTCTTCGGTCGAATATGCATCATGTAACTTATTAAATAAATGTTCATAAGTCGATGTTCGTTTATTGAGAAGCAATGCATAGCCCACAGATGTATATAAATACATATACTTCATTAATATCCTTGGAAAGTGGTGGGTGACATTAGTTTTTTTATTATATAGATTTTAACGAATATATGAAATATCAGTAGTCAGTAATTGTGTATCGTTTCCTAAATTACGAAGTTTGTTTCTAATTATTTTAAATGGCATTTCGTTTATATTGCTTTCAGAAATTTTTCTTTTGATATTATTACTTACGGTTTGATGTTCAATTGTAGAATCTGATTCATGACTATGATCCAAAACTGATTTTTTCTTGTTGAAGACCAATTTGGTATTTCATGTTTTATTAGCACATTACGACGTATTATTACCACTTATTTTTGATTCATATTTAAATTTGAATTTAAAATTGTTTAACAATGTAAATTCTTTGCTATTCAGGCTAAACATTGTTGCAAATTCCATCACGTTAAATTAAATATTAAACTTGTAACTACTCCAACTGACACCAAACACTTGTAAATAAGTACTAACTAGTATCATCAAAAGTAAAGGAATCGATGATTAGTATATTTCGTTAAAACATAAAAATACATTTGGATTCACCTTACCAATTTGACGTAAGACGCAACATAACATAATTAATTAAACTATATATTATACTATATAATATATATAGAAGGTATAAAAAAAAATTTCCGCAGTTTGTGTAATGTATCTTATCGGTTTTGTCGCAGACTGTATAATGTTAAATTTTTTTTTTGCCGCAATTTACATACAGTCAACCCGCATACGCTATGTACACTATTGGTTGCTGATGTCAAGACCATTGATTTTGCCTATACGAAGTATAATCAACGATGACGAACCGGTGTGAACTTATCGGTCCGAGTACTATAACGTACACCTCTTTTCCTATCTACCCTCTAAAACAGTTAAAATATTATCTATACAACAACATAGAATTTTATTTCAGTCGTACTCGTATTCAATCGATTTTTATATTCGTGTACCTCATAGACTTGTAATATATAGACCGTACATTAGTAAAATATATTGAAGCTAACACATGTGCGAGAGAGACGGACTCTGGTATAACTATTCCAAGGAAGATATAAATAATTTTATAATATTCTCTGATAATATTTAATTGATTATTGATTATCATCAAGACATAATAAAATTCAAAGTTATATCAGACAGTAAAAAAAACAGTTTTTATCACGGCACGGTTATAACCGTGGTTATCAGTAGCTGCTTACCTAAAATAAAATTTTGTATGAAATCCTTGGAAAAGCAACATCAGAGTTTGTCTCTCTCGCGCATATGTCGGCTTCAAGGTGTTATACACAAAACAATCGTAATGCGCGGTCTATATAATATAAGTCTATGGTATACCTATACAAAAAAAAAATCGTCGGCGACAACAGACCTGCAAAGACTTAACAGACTTTTAAACAATCCTACAGTCTATAACGTCTACCTCTCCCCAGCCATGCAGCAATGGTTTATTGTTGGTTAGATATATAAAAATAACTTTATTTACACTACCTTCTTAAAAACCCATCTACGACATAGGTCGCACTCATCCCTAGTAAGAGTCCCTTATTCTCTATTATTTTTATTTATGACAGTAGATTTCAATTTTTTAGATTCTAAATGGAACGAAGAATGCTTTAGTTTTAAAATTATGTCTATTTTTTTTATATATATAAACAATTTTTCTACCAAAAAGCATACTCCGATTTTCAGGTATAGCACTTTTTCTGAAAGGAATGTTCTCTGGGTGGTACTTTAGACAGGATATTTTTTGAAATTTTCATTAGTATTCAAGATAACGAGGAAAACCTCGGTCTTTAGGTTAAAAAAGATTGAAAAATTAAAAATTAGGTTGTCATTGATAACCGTTTTTATTTATTTTTTGTTATTATTAAGTTTTTTAGTATTTTCATTCTTTTTAAAACAATCATTATTGTCATAGAAAAGCACATTGTTTTAATCATTTTACCATAATATGATATAATATCGTATACTATATTGTTGACAAAGCTGAACATGGTTCAAAATTGTTTTTTTAAAAGCAATGATTTATCATTCCTTACCGATATACACAATTTCCATCTGTAGCCTAGCTTCCCAATTTCCAACCTACAATAGTGGCTGTACCGAAGAGCGAAGTATGTCTGTCCATTTTTTTTTATTTTAACGTTTGAAAACTAGATAAATTTCAATCAAAATGAGTAATAAAGTAAATTCCAATTAAAATCAATTTCAGATAAGTTTCTTTTTTTAAAAAAAAACCACTTCAGAAATATTAGAATGGTTCTCTAATCGCTTGATAATAAACGAGAGATATAAGAATATGAAAAAATTAAACAAACATTTCTGAGAGTTCTATATAAAAGCAATTATTTCAAAATCCTATTCAGTTTAACTTTATGCATTCATTAGGGATTTAATTGTTCAGATCTTTACTTAAAAATTTGAGATCCTAGTAAAAGAATCTGCCTATCTAAACTTATACAAAATAATACGAGACCATATAACACGATTAAAAGAAGAAGCTACTAAGGATTAGACGAAGCATTCATCAAAAAAGGTACTTATATAAATTACTAAACAAAATTACAATAATTAACCATATAGCCTTTCAAAACATTTAGTACCTAGTACACAGATAAATATTGATTGAACTCTGAGCGTAGCTGAAGTATGTATAGCATTAAAGGTTTCTGCTGAAGCGTGTTTTTTTTCTTCCTGTTAAAAAATTTTATACCAGAAATAAAACTATCAATATCAAGTTCACCAAATTTTTGAAAGACAATATGGGATAATTGGGTCGTTTATTGATCTTAAAAAATGTCTTAATAATTATCTATAGCCGCATGGAGTCATACTTACCCGTACGTACTTCTCGAAATAGTTAAACACATATTTAATTTTCGACTTTATTCAACTAAAAACTTTTACATTCAATAAAACTCAACATTCATTAATAGCCACTATGCCAAATACAACGATACAAATATATCAAAATTTGAACAATGCACTTCAACAGTTCTTTGCATGTGTTATTTAATTATAGTAATTTCAAATCTTTTTAAAGATAATATGAAGGTGTTCGTTATTTTGGGACTTGTGGCCATATCCATCAGTGCTGTGTGCTCAATAACAATAAATGACATTTCAGAAGAATGGAATTTGTTTAAAGTTTGTACAAGATATTTGTAAAAATATCGAAAATATTTTAATAAATTCATATACCATTTAATACTTTAAAGGTCAAATATAATAAAACATACAAGAACATCGAAGATGAACTATTCCGTAAAAAATTGTATTTAAAAAACAAAATAGTAATTGAGGAACACAACAAATTATACAAAAAAGGCCAAGTAACATATAAATTAAAAATGAATCAATTCGGTGATATGGTAAGTTTTTATTACTTAGTTTAATTATCATAAACCCTAATTCAAATTCCTAAATTTGAACATTTACTATTAAATTATAGGCTAACCATGAAAGGAAATATATGAATGGATTTAATCAAATATTAAAAAACAACATAGATGATAGAGATTCCGTGACTTACTTGAGTCCTGAAAATGTGAATATTCCGAGTTCAATTGATTGGAGAAAATTAGGAGCCGTAACACCTGTCAAAGATCAAGGGCACAAATGCGGATCTTGCTGGGCGTTCAGTAGTGTAAGATTTAAAAATTTATTTCTACAATAACTGGGTTCATTCAAACTAAATTATATCACAAGAAATTATTTTACGAAATTATAAATATGAACATCATCTATAATAAAATATCCCAGGATTCATTTATTTTATAATTATAATAACAAATACTATTACTGATTATTCCATCCTAGCCATCATACCATTCTAGAAGGATAAAATATATTTTGTTACCCAGATTATAGCTCAATAAGTCACATCCACAGTTCTCATGTTCGCAATACGCATTATTTATAATTCAAAATGACGTCCGATTTTTTTTGGGGGATTGATGAATGCATTGAATACGTTTTCGAATTGTAATTGTTGGTCTTATTTTAGACTGGATCACTAGAAGGGCAACAATTTCGCAAAACTGGTAAACTAGTATCATTGAGCGAGCAAAATTTAATCGATTGCTCTCGCATGTATGGTAATCATGGTTGTCGTGGTGGACTTATGGATCAATCATTCAAATATATCAAACTTAATGGAGGAATTGACACTGAAAATTCGTATCCTTATAAAGGCAAGGTAAGTCATCAATGATTTGTTTAACACACCTATCATAATAATTATTTTGAAATGTTTACAGAATGGATATTTCTGCAAGTACAACCCTCAAAACAAAGGGGCTACGGTCACAGGTACCGTAGACATTGCTACAGGAGACGAAGACGCTCTCGCTGAAGCAGTAGCTACCGTTGGACCGATATCCGTTGGAGTTGATGCTTCCTCAGACAACTTCTCCTTCTACTCAGAAGGTGTGTTCTACGAGCCTACTTGTAGTTCTACAATTATCGACCATGCTATACTAGCTGTTGGTTACAACACCACAGAAGCGGGAGAAGATTACTGGATTGTTAAGAATTCTTGGGGAGAGGAGTGGGGTCAGGGTGGCTACATATGGATGGCTCGAAATAAGAACAACAACTGTGGTATCGCGAGTATGGCTAGTTATCCTCTGGTATAAATTATAAGCAATATATATTTTGAGTGTAAACGATTTTGAAAATTATGTATCAACTATAACAAACATACAAATTGTAATATATCATTGTTATTAAAATTATTAACAAAAAAATTAATCTTATTATTGCCTTTTTTTATGAGGATTCAAGTACAACTTGAATCACAAAATCACTAACCTAAATTTTTCTTTAATTCTGCCAATTTCATCAATATGTGTTTTTTTGTTTTTTTTTTGGCTGTTTGTCCTCATAGGATAATACAAAAAAAACCATAAGCATACTTTACACGATGTGTGGGCCACTGTTATAGTTGAAAAGTTGGGTAGATAGGTTATAGAGATGAATTTAATGTTTAATATATGTAAACAATAATTAATCATTGATAGGGAAATTTGATTGCACATGATTTGAAAATCCGTAATATTTATGATTTTCGTCAAAATTTGATATTATAACTTACAAAACAAAAAAAATATTACATTACAAATTTGAAATCAATTTTTTTTTCTTTACCACTATTTCTGATTTTTAATGAATTTCCTTTCAAATTTTTTTAAACCTAACAATTATTTTCACAATATAACTACCTACAATAAAAAACTTGCAAAAATAAATATTAAATCTTTGAAAATTTCACCGTATCTAGGAAATACAAATATAAGTTTTCTATCAATCTATCAAGTCTGTATAAATATATTTAAATAAAGTCAATTTCAAAATCCAAATTTAAAATAATATAAGAATTATTTTATTTTATTTTCCTATACGTACTTTTTATATGTTTTTCAACTTCGCTCAACTATTTAAAAATTAGAAAAAAATATTCAAAAACGACTTTCTTATCAATTATATTAAAAATTCAACGAAAAATAAGGTCTCTTATTGTTTTTCTATTGAAGCAATATTGTTTGTAGAAAACATATACCTTTTAAATGTAAAATAATGAAATCGTTTAGCGGTAATTTAGAATCGTGTTTTTCGTCTTTTTTCCTTTTTTTTTTCCAGTTATGAAAAATACTTATGATTATTTAAATGCCTTTTCTTGTCAATGGCGAAATATTACAAATTATTGATTTTTGTTCATTTCTCGATTTGAGCAATATTTCTGGTAAAAAAAAAGTCGTTTATACAAATTAAAACAATGAAAACCCTAACGGCGTGACGTGCCGTAAATCTTTGCCATTTTATCTAAAGTTTTCTGTTTGATTTTTTCCAATTATCAGTTAATTAACAGTATACACAATGTCAATATATTCAAATTGCCGGTTCTATGCCATAAACGGGAACATGATCTTGTGCAGGAGCTATACCTATAACATGGCCACCCATCCACGATCTTGTGCAGGTGTCTGCTTTAATCCTACTCAAATCATAAACCAATTCTAAGCCGATTCTGAGCCTTAACTGGTGCTATACTTTAACATGGCCTCCCGAATTGTCCACCTCTTAATCGATCTATATTTTCTCCATCGCCCCTTTTATTCAAAATATTTTTTTTCAAATTTTTTTTTTCTACATTATCGACTACTTATACTACATATATTTCGGTTACACAATCATGCTCAGGTGATGGAGCTACGATCACGATCACATATACACACACACACACACACACACACACACACATCTACTTACACATACATACGTACATACACATTTACTGTACCTACTTTCTATGTATTTTTCAATTTCGCTCAAATAGTGGCGAATATACCCACCGGGAATTCGGGATTTTCCCGGTAGGCCCTATCCTGTGTTGATGTATGAAGGCCTGAGGACCATTTATCGATTACTAAACTTTGTATGATGAAGATTGAATGTAAATTCACTAATTCTATATTTTTAACCATTTTACAAGAAATACTATTATCATCTAACTACAAACAATATTTAATTTTGTTCCCTGTATCATTGGGAATTTTGATATTTATTTTTAGATTAGAATTATAGAAAACCGTATATAATATCGATAGATTATATACGATAGATTATAGCTGTACTGTATAATACTTTGTTGTCAGTTATCACTTTATTATTGAATTTTTTGATTTTCTGATTTCTGTTCATACTTCTCAATGAAGTGTGAAATGTATAGTGTACCCAAATTTAGGTGCATTATAAGAATAAATTGTAATTTTGCTTTTCAATTATTTAATAAATTATTATATATTTTTATATACATTATTTATTATTTAATAATAAATAAATTATGAATACCAATGACAAAAAACTGAATAAACGATCAGGATCTTTGAAACAAAGTAAAAAAAATAGTCATTACTACACCGTGCAAAAAATAAAAATCAATTTTTTTTCACATTATAAATTCCAAGGTAAGTTTTTTAACAATTAAAATTTTGCTTCATATTGTTAATAAAACAAAATATTGACTTTGTTATTAGATTAATAGTCATAAATCAAATCAGTCAAATATATATATTATATTACAATAAATAATACTATTGAGCCACTTACAATACTTACCTACAAATTTTTATATTCCTTTTTTATTATTATACTTATATTACATATATAGGAACAACCTGAAATTTAAAAATGCCTCATTCATTTTTAGGAAATTTATACAAATTGATAATTTATACATACTATTATGCTATGGTTTTATTGTGCTAGTAGTTATTTTATTTTGAACATGTGTTTTTGTTTTTTATTTACTACTATAATGATATTAATGTAATAGATATAGATGAAGAACTTTCCGAAAACACAGTTGATAAATCTGTAGCGGTGTTATTGGAATCCGTATTAACCAATGAAATGTACTTAAAAAAAATACTCTTTCTACGTCAAATATTAATTGTATAAATAACTTAAATAACTTTTAATGTCAAGATAACAGATAACGCTGCAAGTAACAATGGTTAGAGTGAATATTTTATTGTATATAACTTATTTTCCATTTAAATTTTAAAACTTTAAAATTTGATAATGATTATTTCAAAAAACTTAAGGAACAGAATTTTGCTGAGTACTAGCTATTTCACCCTTATTAACAAGAAAAAAATATTTCATTTTCATCATTAAAGACATATTTTCGAAAAGACGGCGGAAAGCGAATGTGGGTGTCTTATAATTGCTAACAATTTTATATATGTTTGGCTTACGGTGTTTTCCATTGGTTTAATGAAATGGAAACATGTTTAGGAACGTATTGAAGAGCATGAGGTAACTTCAACTCACGGACATAATGTTGAAGCTCATAAAATGAGAAAAAAATTGTACTTCCGTTGATTCTCTTATAAAATATGCCCGAGTTCAGTTAGAAAAAACGAAGTTAAAAATAGTAGGCTTATGTTAATTCGCATAAATGAAATTGTAAAACAAATTATCACGCGTGGTTTTAGTTACCGTGGAAAGAAATTTGAAGCGTCTTATACTAATGTACTTAATAGTGACAGTATTTTGGATCACGGTAACTTTTTAGAAATGGTGCAATTGGTGGGTAAGTTTGATCCAGTTTTAAAAACGTCATTTAGACAAAGATATTAAAAAAAGTACAACTATTCACAATTCTAATTTAAAACAGGGTGGTGGACTAATAACTTTTTTGTCTAAAACTAATGTAAGTTACATTGTTGAAGCATTAAGCCAGATAATCAAATCCATAATATATTTTATTTTATTTTAGTAAGTAGGTAAATAATATATTACAACTGAAAATAATATATGAAGCCCATTTTAAAAACGACTTCTTTAGACGGATATGATCCAAGAAAAATTGCTACAGCTCTGCGGCTAGTTCGTGCAAGAATAAAAACTTTGTCTTTTTTTTCAACGGATAAAGAAAAAAATACCGCTCACGACTCGAATTCAAATAGGTCAGCGTCAGTAGGCTTATAGGCCTTAAGCGTCGCGGTTGGTTAGTTAATGTTTTTTCTTGTCTAAATCTTTATAGGGGTGATCGCTCGCCAGTAAGGATTAAACGCGTCAGGAGATATATCAAAACAAGACTGCGATAAATTTATTTAATACGTACGACTTCGGGTAAGTTGTATTATTTTTTCCACAATAGGTATTATAAGATAAATGCAAATTGGAACGATAATATTCGCAGTAAAAGTATTTCGATAAGTAGAACGCCAGGAGAGCGTCGCCGGTGCTCTAAAGAAACGCAAATTCAATTAATTTGATACTGATCGCTCGGATTGGATTAAAACCGTTTTTGTCGTTCTGAAATAGACGCACGGCACAACACTGCCACAGCAGGGTCATTATAAAAGCTTAGTTCGGGTCGAGGTTTCTTAACGGCCGCGTATTATAATAATCCGTCGGTAAAAGCACATTTTAATTTTATCCGTTGTCTGATTAATTGGATTTTGTAAATAATTTTGGAAAAAATACGAAAAGAATCCATATCGTTCAAATTAGTATTGGACAAAGTAATACAATGATATTGGCAGAAAAACTTTCAAAATACTATGTTTTAGCATCTTCAATAAAAAAAAAATTCCATTATATATGACACTTACCAGTGGAAAATATTATTGGGGCTCAAATAATTTAGTTTTCAGTTTATGAAACAAAATTCATCAACCAACGCCATCAATTTTATATCCATATATAGACTAATTTTTCGGCCAACTTCCTATTTAACTGATCTATTAGAACTAATTTCCTAACCGGCATACCAGCTATTGTAATACATAATATAAAATTTGGTATTTTCTTGTTAAATTTACGTTTAAACACGTGAAAAAAAAACATTTTTGACTAGTATAAATAGATTATCGACACAGTATTGATTATTTACTATTGATTATTGGCACATTATTTTCCAATTTACACTCAACAAGAATTCTCCAAAATTTGGGACGAAAAAACACGAATAACTGAAACCAAAAAAAAAAGTGGCACATCTAATTATTAAGTTGGTTTAGCTAACGATTATAACATTATTCCGATAGCCATATAATAATAAGTTATACATATTTTTTTTTGAAGGGGGTATTATAACGTAAACTATGTTTAGTATTAATTTTAGCTATAGATACTAACAAAAATAAAAATTCTTGCGATTGTATAAAAAAGTTACTTATTTAATAAGTAATATGATAGGTATGTGTATTGTCCGCTACA